GATGTTTCAATCTCTCTCTCTCCCTTCCTCTATAAAATCAACAAACATATATTTAAAAAAAAAACAATCCATAATGACAAACAATTCCCCCAATAAGGATAACTTCCCATTAATATCAGATTGTACTTTAAGCAATAAGTAAAATGTTTAAAAATGTAATCTATCAAGTAGGAGGGCACACAGCTCTCTTATTGGAGTGAAGGACCCCAAGGCAGGGAACTGTGTGTGCCTTGTTTGCAGACCTATTCTGTATGACACACACAATGCCTTATACACGGAGAAGACATTCAGTAAGCATCTGTGGAATACATTAATGAATACATGAGTGTTGGCAATAAGGAGGAAAATAAAAAAATAAAACTCTGAGGGATCCATTAGAATCTCGGGTACTTTAATATGAAAGACACTTCTCCTGGAATTAATCTAATCGTCTTTTTAACAAATGGGTACATCGAGCCACAAAGAGAAGTCATACATTGAGTTAATAGAAGAGCTTGGATTAGGAGTCAAGTCACTGGTCTCTCTGTTCATTATTCTTTCCATCATGACCTTCTATGCAATAGCAAACACAGATTGGAGACTTCCAGGTACACATATTTTCCAGTTCTATCAAGTGTACACACCTTTGGTGAGTGACTATTATGTGTCAGGTACTGTGCCAAGCACTTGGGGAAAGGTGAATAAGATGATTTTTGCTTTATAAAAATGTATTGATGGTTACCTTGATTCATTAATTGGGGACCATAATAGTTGACAATGTTTATATTACAGTTAATTTTTTTCCCATCAGTTAAGCTTTAAATTTGTGGGAAAGAAAGACATTCACTTTTAAGTTAAAAAAGCTAACAAGATTCCTGGAAATGTTCATGATCGTTTGACATTTAAACCTATGGTAGTGTCTAAAGTGGTTTGTGCTATATAAAATACATTTAATGTTTTATTCCAAGGATGCCATCTTTCTGTGCTAGGTTGACTTTGACAACAATATGTGCTTTGTAACCTTTTGAGAATAGGATCCTGCACCAATTTTACTGAAGGTTGTAACTACAGACTATACAAAGCTGAATTCTAATTAATAGTACAGTGAAGACTTTGTTCTCTGTACCCTGTGGGGGGATGAGATGCCTTAACTCTTTAAGAAGGCATCAATTCATGTTGCCCAAGGTATTCTCATTCCTCTAGGTTATCCCTGCTCACCTTCCTAAAACCTATCCCTGAATTAGAGGGCAGGGATTTAATGAATTACTCACATACTCCTGCTCCATTCATTTAGCATATCCATATGCTTCACCTTATAGTTAATTGTGTATGACTCCTTCAAAATTCAGCAAGCTTATTGAAAATAACCTTTTCTTTAACCAAAACAGTCAAGCATGTTCAAGGCAATAAAACAGAGTGCAATGTACAATCTATAATATTAAAAGCATAATATGCTAATTAGATTGGATGTCCTTCTGGACGGTCCTTCTGGACGAAGCCGGGTTGCAAGGGAAGCCTGGGTCCCGGGTGCCGGAGGGAAGCCCGGGTCCTGGCTGCCGGAGGGAAGCCTGTGCCAGCAGCCAGGGGAAGGAAGGCCTACTCTTGCACAAATTTCGTGCATCGGGCCTCTAGTATTTTACATATTGCCCAAGACAGCCTCAGTTAAATTTATTTCTTTGTTCTACTTTAGTAACATTTTCCTTGTTCCTATCCTTTTAAGGAACTAGAAAAAGAACTGGAGTTACAAATTGGGATGAAAACGGAAATGGAAATTGCAATGAAGTTACTAGAAAAGGACACCCATGAGAAGCAGGACACGCTCGTCGCCCTCCGCCAGCAGCTGGAAGAAGTCAAAGCGATCAATTTGCAAATGTTCCACAAAGTTCAGGTGGGAGCTGGCTGTGTCCCCATCCCTGCCTGGGTTCCTGCTCCTGCTGCAGCGGGGGCTGAGGCGCGCTGCCTCTCCGTCCTCTCGCGTCCGTCCTCTCGCGTCCGTCCTGCAGAGGGAGAGAATCCGCACCTCCGGGAGGTCCCACTGTCCTAGGCCCTGTTACATGCCACGGTATTTGTTTTATTTGAGTCTCCCAGCAAACCCCTGGAAAAGTTTACGAAATGGGGAAAGCGTCAGTGACGAGACAGAACCGAGTGGGTAAGCCACGTGCCCCGGTGGCACAGCTGTGCCTGTGGCCCCTCACTGTCTCCCTGTTGCCCGTTCCCTCGCTTCAGAGGGCGATTGCTTGAGAAGTGGTTTGAGGATAGAAGTTGGTATTGTCTTTTCAAGGTTTGCCAAGTCTGCGGGCCACACCGAGAGCAGTCTGCTGCTCGCCTCGCCTGTCGTTTCAGAGTGGCGAAGGGGGCCAGCCCACAAAGAATCCATCGGGCCAGGGTCTGGAAGCCACCATTCTGTGTCCTTCTCAAAACTTTGCTTTTTGAAGTTGTGTTTCCTGTTTTATTACCACAACAGTCCCACTCCACCTCCTTGTCCGTGGATGTGGTTTCAGCTTCACTGTCAAAGACAGTGTGAGAGCAGACAGTATAAATAAACTGTTATTTTGTCCTGTCTTTTCAAAACGATCACCTCATCTTCATAACAGCAATAGTGAAAATCAAAGCAAAAAGAGAAAAGAAAAAAAAAACAATTTCACCTTCCTAACAAATTATCTGTTTTAATGTTTTGTGTTTTTATCTGGTTTGAATGAGTATGTAGACGTAATGTGACATGTATTTTAGAGGAAACTAAACTACTGTAAAAACTTGGCAGACCCTAAAGTGGAGTGGCTTGAAAATACGGAAGTTTGTATCTTAGTTACTCAGAGTCATTTCCAAGGAGAGCATTTCAGACCCGCTTTGTCCGCAGTCACTCAGGGACCAGGCTAACGGCGGCTCCAGCTCTCGGGGCCGCTCTGGATGTCACCATTCTTGCCGGTGGGAGGGGGGGAGAAAAGCAGGTCAGCACTGGGGTTCTTCTCTGGAGCTGGAGGCATAAGCGGCAGCCATCCTTCCATCGAGTCCACGGAGAAGGGCAGCTCAGCATCGACGCTCGGCGGCAGGAGCGCCTGCGACTGTCCTTAGCTGCACGTCATAGGAAGTAGAGGATACGTGTTTGGCAGACATAGTTGTTCCTGCCACACAGGCCATCCGGTCCTCGCATCCTCAAGTCCGCAGCCCCTGGGCGGTGGCAGCCCTCCATCGAGCTGCGTGCCTGCACCAGAAGACCCGCTGTCTTTCTCACATTAACTGTCCCTCCCAGCATCCATGGCAGAGCAGGCAGATAGCCAAGAGGAATGCCTGTGGAAAGGGGAAACGGGAAGTGGCCGGTGGCAATCATACATTTTCTGGGTGGGAATTGCGAAGGATGCCCAGGGGCAGGGGGCACCATCCTTAGCATGTCTGCTACCCCGCCTCTGCCTTCGGAAGAATTTGTCAGCTCCCTCCGTGGCTCCTGGGAAGTCCACCGTCTGTGGCTCTTGGGGAACATGGCCTCCCTGGCGACGACACAGCTCTCCTGGCCAGCTGCGTGGTCTCAGTGTGCCGGCCTGGAGGTTGTCCTGGGGGTCAGTTACAGAGACTGTTCAGGTCTGACTCATGTCGCTGAGAGTGCAGTGCCCTCAGTCATGGCCTCGGATCTGTTTATTTCCACTCAGCCCGTGGCAGTGGCCAGTGTGTTGTTTATTTATTAAACACGTTCTTGTGGCTGCTTCGTTTCTTTGTTCGCTCGCTCGCTCTCTTTCTCATTAGTGGCCAGTCGCCTGAAACAGCTGATTGAGCTGTGAAGAAATCCCCTAACCTGACCTTTCCTGCAGAGCGCCCCAGGGCCTCTGCTGCCTAGTCTTCCGTCTTCTCTGACTTAGGTCAGGGTCAGAGCAGCTGCTTTTCTAACCCGCGAGGCCCCAACATTTGGCCCCTCTGTTTCTACCCTCTCTCTGCAAACTCCTTGCTTACAGTGCCTCTTCAGACCTGCCACACACCAGCATCCCTGCTCTTTAAACCACGTCCCTGCAGCCACCTGTCCTTAGCTACACGTCATAGAAAGTAGAGGATACGTGTTTGGCAGGCATGGCTGGCAGGGATTCGCGTTCCAAGCTTGGGCACGTGGCAGTTGTAACTGTTTTCCATAACTAACAAGGGTCACCAGCTTTCCAGCTGTGACGCCTGCTGGACAGTGCCGAGCCCCTGCCTGCTGGGCCAGTGCTGCAGCACCGGGCCCCACGTCCTCTGGTGGCCTGTTTCCACTTCTACCCTTACCCTCTGGCTGCAAGTACCAGAGTCCACTGTATCCCTCTGTTTGGGACACACTGTAATCAGACACCTCTCTGCTGGTCTTCGTTCCTTTTATAACCCCCTCCCCTACGCCCATCCTCTTTCCTCTATGCTAACTAACATTCTAAATGTTTACTTCGTTTTTTTGTCATTCTAAGATATGTTTAATTATTTTGAATACATGATTTTTTTTTCTTTTTTCTGTTCTGCTTGTTTATTTTGTTTTTTAGATTCAATTTTTTTAAATTATATATTTTTTATTAATAATTTTAGAGACAGAGGAAAGGGGGAGAGAGAGAGGGAGAGAGAGAAGGAAAAAGAAACATCGATTATTGTACCACTTATTTATGTATTCACTGATTGATTCTTGTATGTGACTTGACCAGGGATCAAACCTGCAACCTTGGCATATCAGGACAACATTCTAACCAACTGAGCTACCCAGCCAGGGTTAGATTCAATTGTTAATAGATATGTATTTATTGCCATTTTATTGTTCATATTTTTTTATCTTTTTTCTTCTTCTTAAAGATGACCCTTTAAAATTTTATGTAATACTAGTTTGCTGGTGATAAACCCCTTTGGCTTTTCTTGGGCTGGAAAGCTCTTTATCTGTCCTTCAATTCTAAATGATAGTTTTGTTGGGTTGAGTAATCTTGGTTGTAGGTCCTTGCTTTTCATCACTTTGAATATTTCTTGCCACTGATATGTATTTATTGTCACTTTATTGTTCATATTTTTTATCTTTTTTCTTCTTCTTAAGATGACCCTTTAAAATTTTATGTAATACTAGTTTGCTGGTGATAAACCCCTTTGGCTTTTCCTGGGCTGGAAAGCTCTTTATCTGTCCTTCAATTCTGAATGATAGCTTTGTTGCGTTGGGTAATCTTGGTTGTAGGTCCTTGCTTTTCATCACTTTGAATATTTCTTGCCACTCCCTTTTGGCCTGCATAGTTCTGTTGAGAAATCAGCTGATAGTTGTATGGGTACTCCCTTGTAGGTAACTAACTGTTTTTTATCAATAAAATATTTTTTTTAAATAAATGTTTACTTTTTGTTTTTTTTTTCATTCTAAGATATGTTTAATTATTTTGAGTACATGAATTTTTTTGCTTTTTTCCTGTTCTGTTTGCTTGTTTATTTTGTTTTTTAGATTCAATTTTTTAAAATTATATATTTTTTATTATTAATTTTAGAGTCAGAGGAAAGGGGGAGAGAGAGAGAGTAGGAGAGAGAGAAGGAGAAAGAAACATCAATTATTGTACCACTTATTTATGTATTCACATTGATTCTTGTATGTGACCTGACCAGGGATCAAACCTGCAACCTTGGCATATCGGGACAACGTTCTAACCAACTGAGCTATCCAGCCAGGGCTAGTTTCAGTTGTTGATAGATATGTATTTATTGTCACTTTATTGTTCATATTTTTTATCTTTTTTCTTCTTCTTAAGATGACCCTTTAAAATTTTATGTAATACTAGTTTGCTGGTGATAAACCCCTTTGGCTTTTCCTGGGCTGGAAAGCTCTTTATCTGTCCTTCAATTCTGAATGATAGCTTTGTTGCGTTGGGTAATCTTGGTTGTAGGTCCTTGCTTTTCATCACTTTGAATATTTCTTGCCACTCCCTTTTGGCCTGCATAGTTCTGTTGAGAAATCAGCTGATAGTTGTATGGGTACTCCCTTGTAGGTAACTAACTGTTTTTTTCTTGCTGCTTTTAAAATTCTTTCTTTGTCTCTAACCTTTGGCATTTTAATCATGATGTGTCTTTGTGTGGGCATAGTTGGGTCCATCATGTTTGGGACTCTCTGCACTTCCTAGACTTATATATCTATTTCCTTCACCAGGTTAGGAAAGTGTTTTGTTTTGTTTTTTAACTGTTTAAAATGTTTTTATTGATTTTAGAAAGAGGGGAAGGGGAGGAAGAGAGAAACATCAGTCGCTGTCTCCTGCACACCCCCTAGTAGGAATTGAGCCCACACCCCAGGCATGGGCCCTCACCAGAAACTGGCGACCTCTTGGTTCAAGGGACAGTGCTGAACCAGCTGAGCCACGCTGGTTAGGCAACCAGGTTTGGGAAGTTCACCATTATTTTTTTTACACAGCTTTCAATTCCTTGCTTTCTCTCTTCTGGGACCCCCATGATGTGATTATTGATATACTTGAAGTTGTGCCCAAGGCTCCTTACACTATCTTCATTTTTTAAATTCTTTTTTCTTTTTATTGTTCTGATTGGGTGTTTTCTGCTTCCTTATATTCCAAGTATCTGATTTAATTCTCGGCTTCATCTGTTCTACTGTTGATTCCCTATAATGTAGCCTTCATTTTAGATAATGTATTCTTCATTTCTGACTGGTTCTTTTTTGTTTTCTAGTTCTGTTTTTATGGCTCCTATCTTTGTTCAATTTCTCATAAAATCATCTACTCTTCCCCTAAGTTCATTAAGCATTCTTATAACCAGTGTTTTGAATTCTGCATCTAGTAGATTGCCCATCTCCTTTTCTGGATTTTTATTTTGTTCTTTAATTTGGGACATGTTTCTTTTATCTCTGTTTTTATTGATTTTAGAAAGAGAGGAAGGAAAGGGAGAGAGAAACATCAATCGCTGCCTCCTGCACACCCCCTAGTAGGGATTGAGCCCTCACCCCAGGCATGGGCCCTCACCAAAAACTGGTGACCTCTGGGTGCAAGGGACAGTGCTGAACCAGCTGAGCCACACTGGCTAGGCAACCAGGTTTGGGAAGTTTACCACCATTATTTTTTTTACACAGCTTTCAATTCCTTGCTTTCTCTCTTCTGGGACCCCCATGATGTGATTATTGATATACTTGAAGTTGTGCCCAAGGCTCCTTACACTATCCTCATTTTTTAAATTCTTTTTTCTTTTTATTGTTCTGATTGGGTGTTTTCTGCTTCCTTATATTCCAAGTATCTGATTTAATCCCCGGCTTCATCTGTTCTACTGTTGATTCCCTATAATGTAGTCTTCATTTTAGATAATGTATTCTTCATTTCTGACTGGTTCTTTTTTGTTTTCTAGTTCTGTTTTTATGGCTCCTATCTTTGTTCAATTTCTCATAAAATCATCTACTCTTCCCCTAAGTTCATTAAGCATTCTTATAACAAGTGTTTTGAATTCTGCATCTAGTAGATTGCCCATCTCCTTTTCTGGATTTTTATTTTGTTCTTTAATTTGGGACATGTTTCTTTTATCTCCTCATTTTGGCAGCCTCGCTGTGCTTCTGTCTATGTATTAAGTATGGCTGCTGCATCTCCCGGCCTTATGTAGTGGGTGTTCTGTAGGGTCCAGTGGCACAGTTGGACAATCCAGATGAACTGCTGCCACCCAGCCTCCCACCCCATGTGTGTGTACACTCTCCTGTTGTAGTTGAGCCTTGATTGCTGTTGATATATTTTTCTCTTGTTCCCCAAAATGTATCTCATTTTTGTTTAGGTTTTCAAATGTTTTAGCTTATAGCTGTTCATAATATTCTTCTACAAAATTTTTTAATCTCTTTCATTCACCATTTTTATTTGCATTTTCTTTTTTTCCTTATTCAGTCTTGTCATAGATGTGTTTGTTCTAATAATCTTTTCAAAGAACCTGGTTTTTTTTCAATATTCTTTATTGTTGTTTTTCCTTATTTCATTGATTGCTATCCACACTTCTATATTCTTTTTATTTCTTTTGGTTTGCTCTGTAGCTCATTTTTAACTTCTGAAATACATGCTTGACTCATCAGTTTTATTAACTTTTTTATTTCCTAAAAGTTTTTACTTGAAGTTAAAAATTTCATAGTGGCTGCACTAATTTACATTCCCATCAACAGTGTACAAGGGTTCTCTTTTCTCCACAACCTCTCCAATATTTAGTTCTTATCTTATTAATAACTAGAGGCCCGGTGCATGAAATTTGTGCACGGGTGCGGTCCCTAGGCCTGGCTGGCGATCAAAGTGCGAGCTTCTGGCATGGAAGGGCAGGTCCCAGCTGACCTCTGGGCCCTGGGCAGTACCTGGGCCCTCGCTCGCACCTACCTTGGCCTGGCGCCGCCAGCTCACCTGCTCCACCATCCCACCGC